CCGTAACTTCACTCTCTTAGCTCATGCGCACAATTTGCTTTAATACATCACGCCTCGGTGTACTGCTTGATGCTGTTGGTGCGCTCTCCGTGGTGCGCGAAGCGCGCTGTCCCGGGTGACAGCGGTCTCACAGTGAAGTGTAGTCAACAAAACGTGGTGCAAAGTGTGTTTATGCGTAACTATCCTCCGTGTATTCCTGGTACTGGTATCGGACACCGTAAGTAGAGTGAAACACACCAGCCGCCTTAGAGACCGCCATCGTTTTTAATTTTTGTGTTGCTTGTTGCATTAGGCAACAGCTAGGTACACACCCTAGCATACCAACGCGCTAGGTGTATAGGTGATCGTATTAGGCACACACCTCCTCCACCGAAATGTGGAAGAGCTTTGTACACATCTGTGCTGTTAGCATAGGCGACAAAATGGCGTCGATAACGATTGACGAACTCGCCGACTTTTTAGATGTGCCTTCCCTGACATTCGGGCTGTGTTCCTTTGACAGCATAATGCCCGTCTCGCGCCCGAGCCCGCGCTCGAGTCGGCGCTGCCAAGCGGTCCCTCTATCCAGCGTGTATGGACCCCTATCGACGGTCCGACTGTGCGAATCGACGACCATTTGTCGGCGAGCACCGAACCTACAACCCCCTCTGACCAAAGACACTATTAATGACGCCGCGTCCCCCGCGCCCTCCGCGATGTCCACCCGCAGCCCTTCTCCGGTCTTCTCGTATGCCGAACGCAGGCTCCGACATGGAGACCAACAAGCGCGTCTTGCTCGAGCCCGAAGACGAAGGCTTCCTCTCGTACACGAGGGTGAAGCCTTCGTCTTCGAGCCTAGCCATCGCGACCCTAAGATCGCAAAATACACCATAGTTAGAAATTATAGGTTGAGCAGCCCTAGAGGTGGCACCTTGATCTACTACAAAAGGTCCTTGCACTGCGTAGTGATCGACGCCCCCCCCCCCTCCCCTTTACTTACATAGAAGTCTTTATATGTCAGGTAGCTCTCTCTGGCCATCCGCCACTCACCATCGTCTAGGCATATCTACCGGCACTCAAACGCATAGTTGAATCAGACTAGAACTAGAATTACTCAATCTAGGCTCCAGTGTTATAATGGCTGGAGATTGGATGTTTATCCTTGTGCAATTGATGTTTGTTAACTGCCTCTACGATACAGGAAAAAATCCTAGTGTGGAGGTAAAGTTTTTTTTTCAAAGAATAAAAAATTAAAAAAAAAGATTAAAAAAATGTCAACACTAAGCACTCCTCCTAGAACTCGCGTACAAGCAATCCAATGATATGGGTTTGTTCGATCTAAACTTCGATATTATCGCGGCTAAGACTCCAACTCGCTACCCATTCGCAACTAGTCAACCGGACGTCCTTGACGTAGCTATACTCAAAGATGTCCGCTTGTCGACATCATCGATTGAAACAATATTAGAACTCGACTCGGACTATTGACCAGTCCTAATGCAGATGGGCCAGGCCGCAAGTGAGGTCACATGAGGACACATGAAGCTTTCGAGTGATATTAGACAACTGATTAGTTCGAAGAATGCGGCCTTAAGACAATATGACACTATCGTACCATAGACAACAAATTCGTTTAGATATGATAAGTGGAATAATCTGCTGACGGACATTGAGCCATCACAAACTGCCTTCTGGCAGTTGACCCCAGCTCAGAAAGTAGAAAAATCCTCACCTATACCGCCACTCATTAGATCTGGAAACCCTGATCTCGTCTTTAATGACTCTGAAAAGGTCGAGTGCCTCGCAGACAGTTTAGAGAGCCAATGTACTCCCTCTTATGAACCGATAGATCCGGCGCACCGCAGAGATAGAAGCGGAGGTCGAGCGTAAGTCTGTACTTCCACCAGTGGGCGATCCTTTAGAGCCTGTGACAGTCGACGAAGTCACAGAAGCAATAAAAACCTCAAAAAAATCAGCACTCGGCCCGATAGCATTAGCAACAGGGTGCTGAAATCTCTCTCCGCGCCACTTGTATTGTACCTAGTGGGCATATTCAACGCTCTTCTTTTCAGCTGCGAGCAGATGTCTGGTAAGAGGTATATGTAATAGGAGTCCCGAAACCAGAGTAATCGCGCAACTTAGCCTCTAGTTACAGACCAGCCTCCTCAGCACACTGGGGAAAGTTTACGAGCGACTCATAATGAATCGCGTATATAAATACATCTTCGCTAATAAATTTCTTCCAGGAGAGTAGTTCGGTTTCTGACCCGAACACTCGTGTACCGACCAGCTACATTGCCTTACAAAAAACATTCTGAATGGGTTCAACCTCCCAAGAAGAAATCGTAGAATCACTTCCACCGGTGCCCTCTTCTTCGATGTCGCAAAAGCCGCAAAAGACAAAGTCTGGCACGACGGCTTGCTTTACATCTCACCACATCATCAGAGTTTTTGTTGCCAATAGCCACTTTCAGTATCGAATAGAGGGCACTTGCTCCACAAAACGTCCTCTCAAGGCTGGGGTCCCACAGGGCTCCGTTCTCTTCCCACTTCTCTTCACATTCTTCACGAGAGGCATACCGAAGGACCCAGTAGTGAATATTGCTCTTTTCGCCAATGACACGGCACTTTACGTCGCCCACCACAATAAAAGATCCTCACAGAGATGCTTCAATCAGGAGTCAACCGCTTTGGCGATTGATATGCTTATGGAAAATCGAAGTGAATCCCGAAAAAAGTGTAGATATACACTTTCAAACCATGCCCACTGTCAACCGTCAAAATGAAAATCCCAAAAAATCTATAGGTACGATCACCCTGTACGGCCGCCAGATCCCCTGGCAATCAACGGCTAAATACCTAGGAGTCACACTTGACCATGGTATGACATTCGCAAAACATATTCGCAATGTTCGTAATCGTGCCAAAATCATCACTAGTCGCTTCCACACACTAGTTAACAGAAAGAGCAAACTGTCCTTAAGGCACAAGCTCCATCTGTACAAAACATGCGTAAGACATATCATGGCTTATGCAAGCGTACTTTTCGCGCACGCGGCTCATAGACATTTGTACGACCTCCAAAACGTGAAAAATAGATCCATTTGCATAGCCACCAGAGCTCGGTGGCACAAGCGAAACTCCGACTTACACAGAGACTGTCAACTTCCGACGATCTCTGAGTACTTCAAGGAGATGTCTCGGCGCTATTTAGACAGGACCGAGACACATCCCAACCCGCTAGTGGTAAACGCATTCAAATACGCTCCGACTACGAACGTTACTGAAAGCCTTCGGAGGCTCCGTAACGTTCTAATAGAACTCCTCATTCCGCTAGATGCCGACGACCGAAATATCGCCGGCCATTCACACATAAACACTACACACTCATCTTGTGCCACAAACGCTGTTAGGACTACAACAGATGGGATGCAGCGAGTCCGCAGACGGGTGCGCCGTAAACACCTCCAAACCGCGTTCACACCGTACAACCGAGCCGTTCTCACCGCCCAGAAAATCAAATGATAAGAGTTAGCCGTCGGCGCCGGGATCCACCACCCCCAGTTCTGTCGGCCGTTAGGTAACTCATTCACGTGCACTGTTAGCTGTCCTAAAAGTCATCGTTATGCAACTAACGATGCAAAATAGTAAAATATTCACCCCTTTTTTAGATCACAGTCTTTCTGGCCGCGAGCCCTGAGTCTGATAAAGCTATAAAAGCCAAAAGGCTAACAGCACAAACATCATCAGAAACCAATATACAACCAGTATGTGTAGCCGTGCTATAGCCATGCTAAACGTGTCGAAATTATTGTGGTGTGATAACGTTATGCACCGTTAATAACCTTGTGGCTTCACTTTTAAACCTGGTAGGTACCTAACCTGCTTATAAAACATAAATCATATTTCAACAAAATGTAAAGAATAATGACATTTTTATATGACTTACACTTTTTTGATTACCTTCTTAGAAATGAGAGTCACACACAGAACAAATTACCGGCGTTTTGAGTAATTTACAGCAATCATGGTCACTCGCTTAACCAAGACTCAGCAGTCAAGAATTTTAGTCCAGTTCTTCAGACTATGACTCAATTATGAGATTATATAAATTATACATAATTTGAATGCCTTCAGTATCGATATCAAATAAGATAACATCTTAAAGTATTATGGCACTGTATATGGAGCGTGATCCGTAATATAAAGCGACTGTGTTTATCTTACAATCTTTAATTAACATTCCAATGTTCGAATATTAAATAAATACTCCACGTTATTAAGTCGCATAGTATTAAATCCTGGTATTATAACGTTCTTTGCTATATTATGCTGAAAATACTTTTACACTTAAATAAAGATTGTGTTGTGATTGTGAAGCTTACCATACAGCTCTAGATCACTTATTTGGACAAAAGTACGATAGGAGAAGACGTGCTGCTTTTCTTGGAAGAAAGATGCCGATGCCGCAAAGAGAATCCGATATCTATTACATTGGCATCGTCTGGAGTTTACCATTACCAATACATCCTATCAAAGGCCACTGCTGAACTTGGACCTCCCCCATAGACTACCTTTCAATTCGTCCACGTACATTCAGGTTTTTGCAAACACAAAGAGACGTTCCTTGTTTTCGATTTCTGGCCCTCTTGGTAGTGTATCTTTGATACATTAAAAATGATGTGTATACAATAAAATCGAAAATAATGTAATGTTAATATTATGTGTATTTTTGACTTATATTTTTTAGATTATAGTGTCTCAATAAGCTAATGTGTCCTTGATATCTGAATTAAAGATAAAATAAAGGGGAAATTGAAAATAAAACAATACTTTGTGACGTATAATTTGTATTAAATCAACAATATTCTTAATCTTTACATTCTTTGGTATATTATCAGCTCGTTTAGGTACATTTAACTCTAAATTTAAATTCATATTATCTTTTGACAGATCTGAATTAAATACACCTATTTTTAATCTATCGTATCATTATTTTATGCATGGCTTAGTCAGTAAGCTTATGTATTGTTAGCCCAAACAATAATGTGGAGCAATAGCAGGATTTGGCACGTTTGCAGTTTGGCGGCGGAACCTGGTGACGTCACTGTGAAAAGAAAAGGCCATTTAGAGAATATTTTAAAATATATCATAGCAAATTGTTTATTTAACAATAGAGGGAATGGACTATAAGAGTTCATTTCTAGGCATCTTTTATGGGTACAAATAGACTAACTGTTGGAAAGTACACATAAAGATCATAATATGTGTCAAATATATACTTCTATATTCCGCTCGTATCGTATTTAGGCAATGACTGAATGAATACTTACAAAAATTAGTAAATACTTTAAACCCCCGGAAATCAAATAGGTATCGAATTTAAATCCTCGGATAGTTAATAAATCAAATAGGTATCGAATTTAAATCCTCGGATAGTTAAAACAAACTATCATAAATTTCAAATATTCGATCCTTTTCAATGGTCCTAAGATTATCGTAAGGATTTTCGATTGTCCGATTATCCTACGACACATTCGTATAATGATATAATTACATATAATTTATTGTTGTTGTGGAAATAAAGATTTTTTGGTTGTATTCATTTATTTTATATATTTAAGTACAAAATATTGACAACTTATTGATATTTAAAAGATATAGATTTTTATTGTATAGAACCAATATGCGTAAACATCAGTAATAAATAGTCCAGAAAATTTATTATATCCTTATGGTAACACTTAAGTGCATTTGGTGAAATCTCGTAACCACGTCCTCAATGGTTCCGAGAATTTTAAAAACGACTTTTCCTCTAAGTGCATGCGCGTCCGCTTTACACTTTATGTTCTAAGTTAAGCTATAATTTTTAATTACACTGTTGTATCTCATTGATTTACGTTGTTACTGAACATGTAAAAAGTTACAATAACTGCATAGAATTAAAAATACAACCCACAAAAACTAATCTTAAGTATTGATGTTTAAAGATATTGTAATTTTTTATTTCTTATTTGTCCTTATCAATATAAAACCATAAAGATAGAACCTAGAAGGTTTGTTGGCACGACACTTAGAGTTAATTTGGTATTCATTTTGGATTCATCCAAAACGTGTTTAAGCTTCCCCGACATTTTATTTATTTTTCACATTGCTATACATTTATAATTGTTGCTGGGAAAAACAATATAATCATATACAGCTCTACTATTAACTCCTAATCCGTTTGGTTTTAAAAACTATAAAGAACGCTATTGATGTTTATCTATGTTCTATGTTCTTTATAGTTTTTTTTTTCTGCAGACATTTTGTCATTTTTTGTTAAAACTGTACATTTGGCTCTAAAGTATTTATTTTCGTAAGTACTGTCTAATTCAAAATAATGTAAAGCATGTTTTTATACTTTCTCTGACAATAACTAAGGTGGCCCTTGATATAAAATTTTCAAAGCCTTACATGTTTTTACGTTTTTTTTGGTTTAACTTTTATAATAAACGGTCAACGTAACGTCTTATCGTTAAGAAACATTTTTTCTGGAATAAAAAATATGGTATATGCGTAGATGTTACAAAACCGATTGTCGTAGAAATAAAAGCAGTCTCAAATAAACTCTCTCTAAATTTGGCTTAGTTTAAATTACCTTTTTGAGGCTTAAATTTTACACGATAAATAGTACGCGTAATTTTTTAACTTTTAAGGTTTTTTTTTCTGTTACTCATGCTATGCATCGATGTAACGAAACGGAACGCTTTGTATAAACAACGTGCATAGATCCGGATTTTATAATGAACGTGACCTGCTTTGGATAGCTTGCAGAACTATATTATAAAATGTTCAAATTCGAAACTGGATATACATTTTCGGGACTTTTCCGCAGAATCAAAGACGGTTGGTCGCCTAATTCGCATCGCATAATTGAAGTTTTAAAACTTTATTCGAAAAATGTATCAATAAGGCTGTGAATTTTAATTTATTTACATCAATTTTTAATTTTATCTTATATAAAATTAATGTAAATATTTTATATTATATAATATCTATAATCGTAAACAAGAAAATTACTTAATTTGTCATAGACCCACTCCCCGCGGTATAGTGCCAAAAACGCTAGCGTTTCATAGCTGACTTGACTATACTAAGCATTGTCGCCTTTGAACGGGAAAAGTCCTCTTATCACCAGCGTCGACGACAGGTTGCGGAAGTAGTAAATAAATCTTGTTTTCATAATATTGGTACTACAAATTCATAACAAGATATTACAAAAAAAGTTAAGTATAAAAAAAAACTTCAGTAAAGTTTGTTTCGCATACAACATTTCGCGTAAAAATGTGGAATTTTTTTCCATTAAACTGCTACAATTATAATAATATTGTGTTACATATGTAATGGTTTTAATGATGTAACACAATTTTTCTTTTGTTTTTGTTTCATAACATAAGGAAAATCAATATTTTTTCTAGAATATCTTAAATCGTTTTAAAATATGTATATGAAGCGCTTAAACGCCACAGTAACATCTCCCGTCGAATCTAAATTTATTATCACTGAACAACGCTTCTCTGTTGCCTCCGTAGGAAATTGTCTTCGCAAATGATCCGGGGAGCAATAATTTACTGAGCCTCAATGACCTCTTTGGTAGTAGTGATCTTATTACCCCAGCTTCCGAGAGGGATATACATTGGCCATTACGCAAGCAAGCGCTCTTTTAACGCTTATGGTCCCCTAGTAATAGGAAGATAAGGTTATTGTTTGGTTAGCATCGATGATTTACTTTTATGTCATCTCTCATTTATATAAGATTAATATAAACGTATAACGGGTACTTACGGTCTAGGTTTAGAAAAAATATAATCGAAATAGAGAAACATTTTTTTATTACATCCAATAATAAATAATGCTCTTACAATGATAGGTTAGGTTAAGGTATGGTTTTTTCCCTTTAGTTAGATAATAGTTAAAATTATTTTTTAATTTTATACTGATTTTTAGAATACTTTTAGGAATTATTTTTACTTAGCGGTTCTTTTCAATTAATGTATATATAATTCTTTTTAAAAATTTAATTTTATGACAACCTTTGAGTGGACTAAGGATTATGACAAGTTCAAGATAATAACAGTTACACTAAAAAAAACGTCTTAATTATTTTTTCTACATCTTCCTTTAAATGACGCCATCCTTGATCGTGTAGTAGCGGTGTAGGAATATCCATTACCATATCGTCCCGAAAGTGACGTAAGAGGCGACGGAGGGAAAATGAAACAGATAAGCAGCACCATCTTTCTGTTAACAACTCAAAATAATAAAGAAAACTGCGGTTGCCAACCCGCTTGACAAATGTGGAAACTATGGCAAAATCCCTCCACGAGGTAATCTATGATGGAGGTCTATGTTCACCAGTGGACTTTGATAAGCCGTAATGGAATAATGTAGGCTATCTTTAAGGTATAGTCTATTTGATACACACAACAAACAAAAATACAGTCGAATCGAACACCCTTTATTTAAGTTAGCTATAATTATATAATTTTATTATTGTCGCTGGTATCACAAGTACAGATTAAAAGAACAACGACATAAATCCAACATTGCTCATAAACTACAATAATCTTCTACGTAATACGGCGTATTCGACGGCTCTGTGGCGCAGTGGCTTAGCAATCAGTTGTTGCGCTGGGGGCCGCGGGTTCGAATCCCGCACGAAACAAGTATTTGTATGGCCTACAAATAATTGTTCCGGGTCTGGATGTTTGTCCTTGTGCAATTTATGTTTGTAAACTGCCTCCACGACACAGGAGAAAATCCTAATGTGGGTGTAACATTTAAAAAAAAATAGAAAAAATTCTGAGATTATTTTAATTGTTTTGTCGTTATCGAAATCAACCAAGAGCACATCATCGTTAGCATCGTCAATACTTACACGTACAAGTAAACCCAGAAAACTTATTAGAACGATTTACAAACTTACCTCTTTCAATTTTAGGATCACTGTTTGCTGTGTATAAAGCGACGACTGAGTTATCCCTGTAAAGATTTCCAACTTTGGCTTCACAGCGAAGTATAGGAGCGCCACGTTCGTAATGAGCTGGCCATAATTGTATTTGGATGTATAGGTCGGCACGAAACAATCCTTCTGGAGCCGGATGCACGTTGTATAGACCAGGTGATACCTGAGGATGTATATCATATATGAAGTACTAAGCTAAACTAAAATACTATTAATATATATATAATTCACTGACTTAGGGCATATAATTTCAGTATTATCACGATAAAATTTCCTGCACATTTTTTGTGAGTTCAAAATGACAAACGAGATCACCACTGCACCCCGCAGTCAAATCCAAATTAATAGAGAACTACATTGTTATTTTTTTTATTGAATAAGAGTGAAAAACGAGCATACTGTCCACCTGATGGTATGTGGATACTGTGGCCAATGTATACATTTATCCTCAATTGAGAATCAAAATGCAGATACATTGTCACCCTTGAGGACTTAGATGGAATGCCTCGTATCCAGTAAAAAGGGTCTCCGGTTCTGTACACTCACCATACGAAACACAAAAGTATTAATCTGCTATTTTACGCTGGTATTCTGTGAGAGCGTAGTGCTTCCCCGGTCGAGTCTACCCATTTGTACCACAACCATAATATAGGTGCAGCTAGTCTCTACCACGTAAAACTCAACTTATTACTGAATACTCTTATTTAGTTGGCTTTTGCTGCGCTAAGACAATGCAATGTCTGGTGGTGAAATTTCCAAGAACAGGCTAATAATAAGTAAAAAAAAATACAACGGAATAGGCTCATGTCCAGTAGTAGATTTTCATTGGCTCATAAACAAGGAGAAGATAAAGGATGTCTTGTGGTTGTGACGAATAAAGCTAATCTGGTCCTTGGGTGTCGATAAAGTTAACTATGCAATGGCTAAAATGCCTAACTTTCTATTTTATGAAGTACTAGCGATCTGCCCCGGCTTCGCACAGGTGGCTTCTGGATCACGACAACAGCTCCACCTACCGAGTCTTAACTATCCAGAGGCCCACTCAAAGACGTAAACAATTTCATTATAGCAGTTACCCGACTTCAAAGTGTCATTAATTCCTTCATGGGGCAATGTATACGCTTTCACAACTAAGTTCCAGACCTTATCTATCGAAAGATTTAAAATATTTGTTACATAATAGCATATCTTAATGGTTATTATACTACTAAAGTGTACATGACTGATAATAACACCTAGGAATAAGGTGATCGCTACCTTGTTGTTTCTAAATGTTTTCATAACGATTGTATAAAATATTATATTGTAAACGTGCTTTTGAAAAATGTCCCGCTGGGTTTCTTGCCTGGTTCTTCCCAGGACAGAGGTAATTTCCGAACCAGTGTTAAAAGTAAAAAATGACTTTTAATAAGTATTACTGTAATCTATCTACATCTATACAAATAAATAAAACTGAAGTGCCTGTTTGTAATGTAAGACGGCTCCGTGGCGCAGTGGCTTAGCAATGAGTTGCAGCGCTTGGGGCTGCGGGTTCGAATCCCGCACGGAACAAGTAATTGTATGCCTTACAAATAATTGTTCCGGGTCTGGATGTTTGTCGTTGTGCAATTTATGTTTGTAAACTGCCTCCACGATACAGGAGAAAATCCTAGTGTGGAGGTAACGTTTAAAAAAATGTCAAAATAACAGCTTTTTACTAAATGCATATGAAAGTTTATACGGTACTTATAACAAAAACACAATTTTTAAAATTTTTGTGTCTGTCTGCCTGTTTGTTCCAGCTAATCTCCAAAACGGCTGAACCGATTTTGATGGGACTTTCACTGGCAGATAGCTAATGTTATAAGGAGTAACTTAGGCTACTTTTATTTTAGAATAAGGTTTAGGGTTCCGCGTAAAAAAAAATTTAAACCAAAGTACACGCGAGCGAAGTCGCGGGATTCAGCTAGTATTGAATAAAAATAATTGTATCCTATTCTATTCGACTAGAATTGGTAGAGCCAGTATCGAGTTTTAGCGAGACTAACGGACAGAAATTGATTTTTGTCAATAGAGATGTTATATAATAACCAAAAGACTATTTATTTCAGGGTAACAAAAGAGAGTGAAGGAAGTTTTCGAAATATGGTCGTATACGATATTTTAGACGTAAATACTTAGATAATTCAGACGGCGTTGGGCAGCAGCGTTTAAAGTGCGCGAAGTCTAATTTTACGACAAACAACAATTCCTTCTTACAACGGGAGAGACTTATATCTAACGCAGTGTACATTTACGGACCGATAAAGGAGCAAAAGAGGTTCGTTACTAGAATAATTTAAAATTAAAAAATTTGTACAGTCAACTTCAATATAAGCGACTTCAATATAAGTTATTTAAGAATAACTCAATAACCATTGGTCTGATTGGTTCATATGGGACCACACGAGAACTATCAGCTTTCATATAAAAAAAGAATCATCGAAATCGGTTCATCCAGTACAAAGTTATGAGGTAACATACACACAATGGTTATTGAGTTATTCTTAAATAACTCATATTGAAGTCGCTTATATTGAAGTCGGCTGTACAAAATTTTTAATTTTAAATTATACTGATAACAGTTCAATTATAAAGAACGGCAGTCGCCAATCCATCTAACAAGCGCGACAACTATGGCTTCCCTTTGAGGCAATCATTGGGGAGTTTAGCAATTGGTTTTTATCATGTTTTTTTTTTATAGAATAGGGTGACAAACGAGCACACAGTCCACCTGATGGTAAGTGGTTGCTGTGGCCCATAGACATCTACATTTATGCTCGTTTGCGAATCAAAATGCAGATGCGTTGTCACCCGTGAGGACTAAGATAGAATGCCCCCTTTCCAGTAAAATGGGTCTCCGGTTCTCTACACTCACCATACGAAACACTATAAATCTACCACGTATAAATGTTTTAATTAATAATGAAATCTGAGCGACCTGGTTTCAAATCAATCGCTCTTTATCAATGGATATGAAGAACATTTTTATTGCGATAAAATAAAATATTAAACGGTTGGGAACGATATAAAGTAAATTTTTTAGGTTTTTGTGAAATACTTTTCATTCTTATATACCCCGATAATGCCTTGAGGCAAAACCGGTTGTTTTTATAGTTACAAAATAACAATTAAAATTAAGTTTTTTACCTAAATCACAAATATGAAGCTGGAGTTTTACCACGTGACAATAATTGCAAGTACAAATTATAAAATTGTTATTCATATTTTTGATCCGTAGCAACATAAATTGTATGAACATAACAACTAAATGAAAAAGTCAAATAACACATTTCGACAAGCGAAGCACACATTATGATTATTAAACACAGTGGCATATCATGTCCCGTTAGCCGAGCTTACAATTTGTGTAAACATAACACACTTCGTTGGCTTTATGTGCGCAAAAGTTTTATTATGATTGAAATTTCTCCTTGTATCTTACACGAGGTTGTTTTGCTGAAAATATAGCACGGCATGTTCAAGACAAATTTCTTGTTGACATTTTTTCGAGCCAAATTCTTTCTTAATTTATGATCTTTGCCCTTAACAAATTACAGTAAAAATTTGGGAGACAGGTCATGTTTTAACATCAAGTGTTGCGAGTGTTAAAGATAATATTATGGAACTTGGTATTCTCACACTAACATCTATCTACTTTATCGAATGTTGTAAGTTCGGTAGAAAACACCCAAATCTATATAATCTGAAAACACTGTCAAAAGAAATAATGGAACTTAAAATAAGTTATATATTGAATTTTCCCCATTCGATAGTTATTTTAATATAATATGTAAGTAATTTTAAATAACCTTAAAATACGGCCAACACTAAGTCTACAGACTATGTATTTTATAAAGAAATTAAAATCATTATTAACTGATATTAACATTTAAACGAATTCTTTATTGATACGAATAAATAGTTTAAGATGTATGAATACGAGTAATAATAGTTACAGAAAACAGCTGGTATTAAGCAGTTATCAATATTCAGTACTTGAATAAAAACTGCTTTCTTTTAAATTGCAATGTCTCTACGGAGCGTCACTTGATTATATTGTTGTATTGTGAGTTTAATATTTATTGTTACATGCAAATTAACATAAAATAAAAATAAAATTAACATATGCCTCAAAGTCATTTACTTTTAGAAAGATAATTTAAAATTAAAAATTTTGTACAGCCGACTTCAATATAAGTTATTTAAGAATAACTTAAAAACTATTGGTCTGACCTTGATCAAATTCATATGGGACCACACGAGAAGTACCAGCTTTCAAATAAAAAAGAATCATCGAAATCGGTTCACCCAGAAAAAAGTTCTGAGGTAACACACATAAAAAAAAACGAAAAAAAAAACATACAGTCGAATTGAGTACCGGCTCCTTTTTGGAAGTCGGCAGAAAACGGATTCTTCGTACTTTCTTTCTTTATCATGCAGTAGTAGTCAACTTCTGAACATTTTATATTTAACATTGAACATTAATTTTTTTGTAAAAATGATTCGCCATAATAGGCACTCTTGGAAGGTGAATTGTGGATCGTAGTAACAAATTTATTGCACTTTCGAAAAGCCGCGGTAGCTCGCCGTAAACTTCACAACACTGCGGCAACTCGTAAATAATTAAACTTACAGTTATAGTTACAACCCATATACATCTTACGTACTGCTGGGCACAAGGCTCCTCTCATTTCTAAAAGAGTTTAAGGGCATGGAAATGTCCGCCGCGCAGCTCAAATGCGTGTTGGCGAACTTCACTTGTCACTGAATTTTTTTTTCTTATTCCTCAGACATGCAGGTTACCTCATAATGTTTTCCTTCACAGTCGAGCAAGTGGTAAACAATCACTTAAAATTGCAATTAACAATTTAATTTTGCTCATATGTAAGCCACGCTTACCAAAATAAAAGACGGTGGAAAAAGAAAGAAAACATAAAAAAAAAACGTTATCTAATGAATGTGCGCCATTCATTTTTCACTATTCAACTAAATTTCATTTCTGCAACAAAACAACCGGGAGTAAAACAAAGGGAAGTTTAACTCAACGCTCGGGGACAACGGCATTTGAAATATCAACAGAGCACACGTCGCACGTAGGGCAAATAATTTTGTTTACTTCAGCGAATTTTAGAGAAGTGGCTT